CCTACTGAGTCACACTCATCCTGTCTTCCAGTCCTACCCTACAGGCCCTCTCACAGGCTCTGAGCAGACCATGCCATCCTCGTGTCTCCCAGTGTCATGAGGGAGGCTTTATACTCACGTGAGCTCTCTCTCCTGTGTCTCAGGTTGAGCCAGACCCTGAGCTTGGGCCTGAACAGGAGGTCTTTGCTGCTGTGGAAGGTCCCAGCACCGAGGACATGCCTTCAGACGCAGAGTCTCCAGAGGTCCTGGAAACACAGCTTGATGCCCACCAGGGGCTGCTGGAGATGGACCACCCAGGTGACATGGTGGACTTAGTGGTGGCCGACAGCAACGAGGACCTTAAGGCCCTGAGCAGTGAAGAAGAGGAGGAGGAAATGGGGACAGTCCAAGAGCCAGAGAGCCTCCTGCCACCCTCTGTGCTAGACCAGGCCAGTGTCATTGCTGAGCGTTTTGTCAGCAGCTTCTCTCGGCGGAGCAGCCTGGCACTGGAGGATGGCAAGTCCAGTGGCTTTGGGACACCACGGCTGGTCAGCCGGAGCAGTAGCGTGCTCAGCTTAGAGGGCAGTGAGAAGGGCCTGGCCCGGTGGGGCAGCACCACGGACTCCCTCAGCAACCAGCCCACTCCAGAAATGGACATCAGCACAGGGATGGCCTCAGAGAGTGGCCCTTCTGTCAATGGGACAGAACCCCCAAATGCAGGCAGCCCTGTGGAGCCTGACAGGTCTTCCTGCAAGAAGAAGGAATCGACACTCTCTACCCGAGACAGGTTACTGCTGGACAAAATCAAGAGCTACTATGAAAATGCAGAGCACCATGATGCCGGCTTCAGTGTCCGGCGCCGGGAGAGTCTCTCCTACATCCCCAAAGGACTAGTGAGAAACTCCGTCTCCAGGTTCAACAACCTTCCCAGGCCAGACCCAAAGCCCGCAGCTCCAGTAGAGTACAAGAGACAGGGGGGCTCCCGACCAGCCTCCTGGGCCCTGTTTGATCTCCCAGGACCCAGCCAGGTGGGAACAGGGGACTCGGCTCCTATCACGGATGCTGAGTTCCGTCCATCTTCTGAAATTGTAAAAATGTGGGAGAGAATGGAGTCTGCTGAGGGGAGCCCCCGGACAGGGCAAGGCCAGGGCCAGGCCAATGGCTTTGACCTGCAAGAGCCACTCTTCATTTTGGAGGAGCATGAGCTGGGGGCCATCACAGAGGAGTCGGCTACCGCCTCACCAGAAAGCGCCTCCCCCACGGAACGGCCCAGCCCGGCCCACCTGGCTCGGGAGCTGAAAGAACTGGTGAAGGAGCTGAGCAGCGGTGCCCAGGGGGAGCTGGTCACCCCACTGCACCCCCGCATCATGCAGCTCTCTCATGTGATGGACAGCCACATGAGTGAGCGTGTCAAGAACAAGGTCTACCAGCTGGCCCGCCAGTACAGCCTCCGCATCAAGAACATCAAGTCAGTGACGGCCAGGCCGCCACTGCAGTGGGAAAAGGCAGCTCCTGAGAGGGACGGGAAGAGCCCCACCGTTCCCTGCCCACAGGAGGAGCCTGGAGACCTAGGAGGTGACAAAGGTATGATGGGGGTGATGGTCCAGGGGTGGAAAAGTCAATTGGGAACTTGGAGAAAGTAACTTCTAAAGAGACCATGTCAAAGAGAGGACTGGGGCCAGGCACCGTGGTGCATGTCTGTAATCCCAGCCACTCGGGAGGCTGAAGCAGGAGGATCGAGAGTTCAAAGCCAGCCTCAGCAACTTAGTGAGGCCCTAAGCAACTCAGTGAGACCCTATCACTAAATAAAATACAAAATAGGGTTGGGAATGTGGCTCAGTGGTTGAGTGTCCCTGAGTCCGTGGTAATCCACCCCCCACCAAAAAAAAAACCCCAAATCAAAAAAGTAGGGCGGGACCCCCTGCTCTACTGATGTGTCGTGAGTCCCAGCCTCTGGTCTGGTGCTCTGAGGCTAAGCCTGCTCCTCTGGGTGAGCCCTCTGTGTGGAGCAGAGGGAGGAACATGGTCAGGGGCCCTTCCCTTACCAGGATGAGAGCAGAGCTCTCATTTCTTCCTTTGACTCCTGGCCCCTTCCCCCCACTGCCTTTTCTTCTCTTCCCGTTGCCCTGTGATAAAGAGGCAGTTAATGGAATTTCTCTTCTTTTGTACCAAGCCCCAGGAAGCAGTCTCACCTGGGAAGTGAGCTGAGGGTGGTTGGGAGCCCTCCCTTCGGGCCCCTCCTCTCACAGCCACTCATGGCTCGCTCTCTCCTCACAGGCAAGAGAAGGCCCTTGCTCTCCCTCTTCACCTACGAGCAGCTGGTGGCCCAAGAGCACAGCCCCCCCAAGCCCTCCTCTGCTAGAGAGACGTCCCCACGCCGTTTCTCCTTCAGCCCTTCTGCTGCCAGCCCAAGGACCACCTCACCTGGGGGCCGACCCTGCACTCGGAGTCCCCTCAGCCCCTTTGACACTGAGACTTTCAACTGGCCCGATGTCCGAGAACTCTGCTCCAAGTATGCCTCCCACGATGAGGCTGTCCAGGCTGAGGGAAGCCGCCCTCGCCCTCGTGGCCCACCCGTCAACCGGAGCCACTCTGCGCCTGAGAATATGGTGGAGCCCCCTCTCTCTGGCAGAGTGGGCCGCTGTTGCAGCCTGAACACCAAGAGGAGCCAGGGAGCTACCCAGTCCCCACCTCCTAGGATGCCGCCTCAAAGCCGGCTGAATGGAGGTGAAGCCCTGTATGTCACCGCAGACGTCACCCTGGAGAACAACCGGCGGGTGATTGTCATGGAGAAGGGACCCCTTCCCAGCCCCACTGCAGGGCTGGATGAGGAGGGCAGTGGGCAGGGACCAAGCTCACCGGCAGCCATGGTGGCACAAGGCCAACATTTCCCAGACTCTGTAGAGTATCAGCCGAAGGAAGATGGTCCCAGGGACCCAGCAGACCCAAGCAAGCAGAGCAGAGTGAGAAACCTGAGAGAGAAATTCCAGGCCTTGAACTCTGTAGGTTGACTCTGACTCCTGGTCAGGGGCAGGAGCCATGTTGGTGTGGAAGAACCTGGCATACCTCCCCACGAATCTGGGCTTACATGGGCCCCTTGCCCAGGGCCCTCGTGAAGGCTGCCCTTGCTCTCCTAGAAGAACGACCCAGCGTGACCTCACCTGCAGCCTGCTCTGTGTACTGGTGGTCTCCTGGGGCTCCAGACACCTTTCCTCAAGCCCAGATGAGTCGCGCTTCCCACTTCCCTTGTAAATATCTCTCTGGTTGGAAGCCAAATATTTAAGCTCACTTCTTCCCAGGGAGAGCAAGCACTGCTCAGGCCCTTGGCTGGCCATTGCCAGGCCAAGGACCCTCGGGGGGAGACCTGGGCAGGCTTTGCTCTTTAACTGTGCCTTTTCTTAGGACTCAGGAATGAGGCCAATAATTTATTGCTTTCCATCCTGTGGTATGTGCGTGCAAGCGAGTATACATCTTGTTGTTTATTCCCCTCCTGTGAAGAATGTAACCGACTTAGTTCAGGTACTTTTGAGGGTTGCCTTGCTGTCCCTGTGGTTGTCGCTAATGTACACACATTTCACTCTGTGCCAATGGTGCAATAACCACTGCTGACCCACCGACCTGTGTGTGCCTTCTTACTGCGCCTGGCGGGGGTGGGGAGAGTTGCTGGTGGCTGAGGATTTCTTAGAGTAGTCAGGGCACAGGGTGTTCCCTCTGCACTCATTGGTCATCCAGGCACCAGGATGCTCATGGGGCAGGCAGAGACAGCAGGATGCACAGAAAGGAGCTTGGTCTCTGCTACTTCTGCTTCTCTGTCTACCCACGGCCTGGCGTCCTGTCTGGGGCAGAGGGCCTCACATGCCAGCCTATAGCTGTCTTCCTCAAGGGCCAAAGTTGTGCTAAAAGCAGGGAGGGAGGAGTGACCGGGGCAAATGGGACACTTTCTAATAAGAAGTTACCAATATCTGGTGCGAATACCTCATCTTTCCCTCTCCAGTCCCAGGAGGCATCCCAGAAGGCAAGGGTTCCTAGCTTGGGGTCTGGGCATGTCCTCAAATGGCTTCCAATATTGGGTGAGGAGTGCACGTGTATTTTGCCAGGATGGATCCTCTGTTTTCATCACATTGAGAAAGCCTGGATTCAGAAGGGCTAGGAATGCCTCCCTCTTGCTCATTGGGATTTCTGCCCTTTCTCCTTGGAGGACCAATCTCATTTTGCCCAGTTTGTTCTGGCTGGGGTTGGACAGGAAGAGGCTGCAGGGCCCAGGTGGTAGATAAATGTTCCCGTAGCCCTGCAGAGTGAGGGCCCATGAGTCTTCTGACCTAAGAGGATGGATTCAACCTGAACATGGGTTTGCTGAATCTCCTGAGGTCAAGGGGAGACCAGTGGTGAGTGGCAGTCTCCTGTGCAGAAGCAGGGCAGTTAGCCTGTGTTCTACCAGCTGCCCGGAATCTTCTGTGGTCATATCCATAGTCACTGAGAAGAGAGCTGGCTCCTCCCAGGCCAGTCCTGGATACAACACTGAGAAGCCACAAATGTACCAGGCAGGTGACTCACACTTTTATCCCAGCCTTGCCAGTAGCCAACTGGATCGCCCCAACTTTTGCCCTTTCCTCATATGTGAATTGAAGACAACAGATGAGCTCCTGCTTCTCAGACTCCCTGATGGAACTCTTCAGGACATGGGCCAAGGCCAGGGCAGAGGGTCTTATCGGCTGCCCATTAGAATCATCTGGGAGCCTTTTGAAACCCGTCAGTGCCTATGTTCCATACACCCAGACCAAATGAATCTGCCCCTCTGTAGATGGACCCTAGGCACAGAGGCTGGGGACTCTAATGTCCAGTGTGGCCTGGACTCATCTGTGACTAGAAATGATTTTACCCTGCAGTAGGCCTTCTAGTTGAAGGAAGCTTGGCTCAGGGTCTCAGGTGGCGCCTAGCTATCCCCTTGTCTTCATGGTGCTGGCTCTCTGTGGCCCAGTTCAAAGAAAAACGAGGCTAGTCAAATAAGGAACAGACAAATGTGGAGCATTATATAGATTTATTAGAAAAACTAGTAAATGGGTTTCCTCTGGTTGGTGGAAGCACATTTGAGCAGGTGGAGGACAAGGCCCAGCCGGCCCCAGGGCCAGCCCCAGATAGCATATTCTGTACCCAACAAGTGACATTCCTCCGCAGCCACCTCCTCTCTTGTATCCTCCCTGAGCTTGCTTGTCCAAGGGACCAAGCCATGTGGCCAGCTGGTCTCTTCCTCTTCTGGATCTCTGCCCCCTCCCACTGAGGGAGGAAGGAGATCCAGGACCAGTCTAGGGGACCTGATTGCCCTCCCACAGGCAGAACGGAGGGGTGGAGTAGGGGGGAAAGCTGAGCCCGACACAGGCCTCCTGTTCTGGGTGCTTGGTGAAAGTTAGGAGTGGGGGGAGCCCCAGGACCCTCCACTCCTCCCTCAGCCAGAATCAGCTGAGGCCAGGGACAAAGGGGAAGAGTGGGCAGGAGGACGCCTGACATGCCCAGAAGGAGCTTCCTCTAAGCCGCCCTGGGGAGGAAGCCTGTTATGCTGGTGTGGACTGGAGCTGTGTCACCCTAGTTTGGAAACACTGTCAAGGAAAAGACTGCAAAATAAAAAATATGAGAAAAGAAGGAAAAAAAAGAAACCTTGCCAGGGCACCTGGAGAGCTTAGTCCTTGAGTGGCATAGAGTCTCCCAAATTTGGGCACCTGCAATGTCAGTCCAGTTAAAGATTGAGTGTCTCGGGACCTGGGTGATATGGGCAAGATGCGTGGGGAGCTGGCGGTAGATAGTGAATCACATGCAGCTGGCTGCCCTTGCCCAATCCTGGGAACCTGGGGTGGCGAGATTCTAGCTCTTCCATGGAGCCCTTTCTTTCTTGACTCCATGGAGTTGCTCACTGGAAATTCCTCACTTCTGGTGCTACTTGGGCACACATGGAGGGGAGAAGGTGGACCTTTGTCCATTGGCTCACTACTGGCCTGGGGAAATAGTTGAGAGCTACTTGTCACCTTCTGCCCTTGGCAAGGAGCCTGCTCTCTGTCCCAGAGGTGGGCCTGCCTTTGAATGCACCAAAGGCTTTTTTTACTGCCAGGTGAGTATGGTCACCTTCCAGCCTTGGCTTCCCCAGCAGTAGACAGAGGCTGACTAATGGAACACGCCAGGTTCCCTGTAGAAGCAGAGGGTCATAGGGTCCTATGTGTTGAGGCCAAATGAAGACCCTCACTATAGAGGTGGAAGACCTCATGTGGGGAGAGCAGGCTCCATTGGGTAACTGATTCCCTCCCGTGTGGTTCCTGTCTGCTGGAGTCGGCCTCACCCTGACATAGTGCTCTCTGAGCTGTGCCTGCCCCAGTCAGTACTAAAGGTTCCTGGGAAGGCCTCCTAACTCTGATATCTACCTGTGTGGCTTTTCCCTGAGTCTTACCTGATTCATTTCCACAAAGCCAAAGCTCCTTCCCATAGGGAAGGCAATAGAAAAAGTAGCTTTGGGCCCTGGGGACCTTTTTGGTCTCCCTGGGGGAGAACGCCTGCTGCCTTCAGCTTGATCCCCTCTTTAGGACCTAACCCCAGATAAGATGCTGGGCTGAAGCTGTATTGCTTTCAGAGAAGGAAAGTCCTCATTGGACTGGTGATTTCGCCCCTCCAGAGCATGGGGAAGACTCTCCCTGGGGACAGAGATTGCAGAGCCCGTTAGTGTTTGGAGTGGGTTTGGGAGATGTTTGGTGATCTCTGTATCTATATGTCTCTCGGAACCCAGAACCCAAGGCCAGGCCCTCTCTGGCCCCAGCATTTATCCCAGCTGCCCAGCAGTAGTTGTGTCACATGCCGTTAATACCTAGGTACGGCCATATTTGTCACTCCACTCTGATAACCCGGCTCTCTGTCCGGTCAGTCAGTAGCCTTGGATGACACCAGCTGCAGACACAATGGGCACTGGACTTTGGGATGCTTTACCTGGCGCTGGGGCATCCATCCCATATCTGGGGGCCTACACTGGTTCCCCGCTGTGCATCTAGCGGATATTGCTGGCTTGGTTGCTATTGGGAGTGGGAAGGATCCCAACCCGGAGAGGCAGAGCCTTAGGCAGTGTGGGGACCTGTCTGTCCCTCCTTCAGGTCTGAGCCCTGAGTCTGAAGCTCTAACTAGGGTTTTCAAAGAGGAATGGTTTGAGAACTGCTGGTCCTCCCTCCTTCAGTCTCTGCTGGTACCAAAAAAGGGTGCCAGGGGCAGCAGGAGGCTCCCTCAGTCAGGACCCACAACACAGAGGAGGGGAGAGGAAAGTATCTGCTGGCCCTAAGGAGGGACCCAGTTCTGAGAAAGCCCAGTGGGGAGGTGGCTGGCAGCACCTGAGGCCCTGTGTTCCTTCTTGTCCCCTCAGTCCCCCAGCAGCCCCTGGCCCAGAGCTGGGGCTCTGTGGCCCCCCTGAAGTCTCCTCGTTCCCCTAAGGGCAGGTCAGGCTTTGCCAGTGTCCCCCTTCCCTTTCCCTTCCCCTTTCCTGGCTGTGACCACATGGGAGGTAACCCCAAGCACGACTTGCTGTGGGAATGGGCAGCATTGAACAAGCCCCATCAGCCACCTTCTGCTTTTATGGGGATGCAGAGAGGAGGGCATGCGCCTCAGGGAACCGTTTCCTGCCTCCTGGAGCCAAGCCGTCTGTGCCACAGGCAGAGGGCATGTTGGCAGGCGTCGGGGCTGCCAGGCAGGGCGCAGAGGCAGCTATTGCAGCGCAGCGGGGGCCCCAGGGGCCGGCCTGGTGACTCTCGAGCTGGTGGGCAGGAGGTGGAGGAGGACCATCCACTGTGGAGGTCAGGGCCCACGGCCTCAGGTGGCCAGTCCCTGTGTGCCCTGATGCACCACTGCGCCTGCCTGGCTGGCCCCACCAGCGGGGGCCACCGGCTGCTATTTCTTTTTGGGGAAGAAACTGAATCTCTTCTCCTTGTCCTTCTTGCCAAGACTAGCATCCGGGCCAGTGAGGGAGGGCAGAGGCAGGCTCTGCGTCTTGACGCGGATGCTCTGGGACTCGTTGATGGCCGTGCTCACACCTTGCAGCCAGGACAGCATCTCCTCCTACGGGATGGGGGCGTCAGGGCCAAGTCCAGGGCCCCAAGGCAATGGGAGTGCTCCTGGGACTGCCTGTTCCACGGGAGCCTTGAGGTCCAGAGGCCTAGGTCTCTTCCACCTGCCTCTTTGTTAGGCTCAGATGGGTTGGTCACCCCACACTTACCTCATCTTTGCCATGAAAGAGCCACTCGCTGCCATTACTCAGCCTAGGAGAAAAACAGAGTTTCCTGTCATGTCAGAAGCCATGACCTGGGCTAAGACTCCCCCTGTCCCCGAGCCTGTTATTCAGAATACTCTCAGTGCCTTCTGAGAGGTAAGAGTCTGAATGGTGAGCCTCTTCAATTCGCAAAATCCTCAAGGAGCAGCATGAGCTTGGTTGGAGCTGGTCCCCTACAGTGAACCTCTACCTGGTCACTCATGCCAAAGCCATCAGCCTGAGGGTTCAAAGGGTTCAGGGCCTAGGTAAGGGGCAGCAGGCAGGAAGGCTCACCTCAGCTTAAAGACGTGCTTCTTCTTTTTGTAGTTGGCAGCAATCTCACAGATAGCATGTCTCAGGGCCAGGGGCTCCTCCCCATGGTAGGGAACCCCCAGGGCCAGGTTTTTGGCGTCCTTGTAGAAGGTCAGTTCACTATTCCTGAGCACACAGTACAAATTGTTCCAGGACCTGCAAAGATGGGGACAAATAGGTCACCCACAGTCCTGATACAGTATCTTTATGATCAATGCCTATGGCTTTTCCGTTTCTTTTTATTGAGTTATTTTTGCTCTGATAAATAGTAAGATTTTATTGTTTAGAAAGTGTGGGGGGTGGGTAGGGGAGAGGATCATCTGTATGTAATTTCAATACCAAAAGCTAACTACTGTTCACATTTTACATATTCTAGTTTTTCTTCTATTCACATTCAGATTTTCCTATATACATAGATAGCTAAAATTGGAATATACTCTCTCTCTCTCTCTCTCTCTCTCTCTCTCTCTCTCTGTGTGTGTGTTGTGTGTGTGTGTGTTTGTGTGTATTTATTTATTTTCTGGGAATCACACCCAGGGCCTCAGGCATGCTAGGCAAATGCTCTACCACTGAGCTACATCCACAGCCTTATCTATTCAATTTTGCCTCCTGCTTTTAAGATTAAACACTATATCATGAGTATTTATTCATATCCTCAATTATTTCTTGATATCGATTTTTGGGTGACTATAGTATGCCATATATATACACATAATCTCTTTTTTGTGGAAAATTTATCCATAATTTAAATAGTGATGTGATGATGATCATTCTCATGTATATGTCTTTGCCTATAGTTCTGATCTTACCATGAGATCATACATTTCTAGAAGTAGAATTACTAAATCTAAGATCAATAGCACAAACTTAATTTTTCAAAGTATTCCGCATTCATTGGAAAATTTGATTCTCACTACAGAATCATGAAGTGAATTGGGTTTTGTTTTGGTTGTTATTTCTGTTTGGATGATATATGCACAGTATATTATCCTAGCATGTGTGTGTGTGTGTGTGTGTGTGTGTGTGTAGCATTAGGGATTGAACCCAGAGCCTTTTGCATGCTACGCACACTCTCTGCCACTGAGCTGTACTTCCAGGCCTTTTTTGAGGGTAGGAAAGTGGAGAACTAGTAGGGCGCATGGATAAGAAGTACTGGAAGGTCAGTATAAAGTTGCTGCAGAGCCATTTTTATGAAGCCTGGGTTTCTGACTTGCTACTCAGAGATCCTTCCTCCAGCAGTAAGGCAGCTGCTGAGGGGGACCTGGGTCTTTGGAGTAAGGTTGTGCCTTGAGTAAATGACTTAGCCTCTCTGAGACTGTTTCTCCATCTGGAAATGGAAACTTTAGTATCGTAGGGTGGTTGTTAGATTTTATCAGTCCTAACATAATGCCTGGCACATAGTAGGTACTCAATAAGTGTTAGCCTCCCTTTTTCTGGTGGACTCCCATTTAAGCAATAAACCTCTTCTGGGCAGTTGGGTCACTAAGTTGTTTCTTTTTGGAATTTGAAGTAGCTTTGTTGAGTCCCCCCAGATAGGGAGCTCTGTGTGCTTCCAAGTGTCCCTGGGAATGTGGCTTGCTTCAACTTCTGGATTCCATTTCCCTGAGGCCATGGACTGCTGCTAGAGAAAAAGAGGCTCCAAGGACCTGGGAGGAGCAGCCCTGTAAAGACCAAATCCAAGGACATGACTATCTCAGAATCAGGAATGGACATATCCTTTGAGGCAGTTTCTCAGGGTCATGGACTCACTGAATGACAGCACTAGAAGGGACTCCCAGAGGGCATCTGGGTCATGGGCCCCCAGTCACCTCCTATTTTATAGCTAAAGAAATAGGCCTAGATCAATGAAAGCAGGTCTTGGTCAAGGACATGCTGTTAGCACCAAGACTCCCTCTTGCTGCCCAGCTTTGCAATAACTGTACTATCAATAGCCAGTGTCCACCATGGCCCCACTCTGTGCCCGGGACAGTGTCCCTACTGAACATGCCTACCATTGTCATCATGGCCATTTTATGAATGGGGAAACTGACAGGGAGGTTGGATAACGTGTGTGAAGTCGTAGGATTTGAACTCTGGACCACAACTGAGGCTTTTTCCATCATGCCAAGTGGCCCTGGTTTGGCTCCTGGGGGTACCCAGGAGCTCTCCCAAATGAGAGGCCAAGGGCGGCTCTTTCCCAGCACACACCCGTGGCCAAGGCTCTGCTACTAGAGAACCCTGGAAGCTGCCCCTCTCCCCGAGCCCAGCAGCCCTCCCCGACACCTGTTGGATGCCTTCTTGTTGGGCCCCTCCAGGTCATGCTTGCGGCCAAGGTAGCCCTCCATCTGTACGCTGTGCCCGTGGTCCTGCTGGGCCGGCAACGTTGTGGGCTCGTCGCCCTCACTCAGAGGAGTGTCTAGGACCTTAAACAGGGGCTCCGTGGCAGGCCTCTCATTTTCATCAGATTTCTCCTCCTGCCCAGGCAAGGGTGGTGGCTGCAGGTCCTGAGGCCATGGCCTCTCTTCTTCCCCCTGCTCAGGGGCACAGGGGGAGAGCATACCTTTCTGGGGGCTCAGGCAGGGCCTCCACCTGAGCCTCCTTCCCTTGTTCAATGGCTCCCTAGCTTGCCATGGGTACCCCCTCGCTTCCCTGGCCTCTCCCCATACCTCTGACTCCAGCTCCCCTGCTCTCTTTCATCCCCATCTAACAGCAACAGAAGGTCTTCAGAGGGGCTTGAGGAATGGTCGAATTTGGAACAGGTTCCAAGGCTATTGGAGAGCTCTGGTTCAGTGCCTGGCTCCAGACCCCAACCCCTGCTTCTATCATTTACTCTGTGACACACGGGCCTTGGGAAGAGTTCATATGAACGGAAGTTCTGCTGCTAAGACAAGTTTGCAAACCACTTTTCCTAGGGTGTTCAGTGGGAGATCTTCTGGTACTTCAAATTGTCATCAAAGCCCTAATGCTAAGGGTACTGGGCTCCAAGTCACCCCATGTCACTGCCAGTCCTTCATTGGGTCTAACAGGCCCCCTCCCATCATCTAATGAGAATTTGTGGATTCCCAGGGCTGGTTGCCTTTGAAAAGTCACCTTGGAAGCTTACAAAATGTTCTCAAGTCCTTCCCTCAAGACAGTGTTAACTGGCCTGCAGGGGTCAGCACGTTGGTGTTTCTTGATAAGCATTTCATGACTCTAATGTGTACTATAGGCCGAGAATTGCCCAAACAGAGTCCTTACCTTGGGGAACTGCTGTGGGTTCTCCCTCCCTGCACACTTCCTGTTCCCTGACTGGGCATTTCCTTTTGCAGAGGCCTCTTACCTATGCCTCATGCAGCAGGAGAACTCTAAGGAGTAAGTACCTTAGAATCCTTGAGGGCTGTGGATGGCCTCGCTTGGGCCATCTGGCCAGCACAGGGTGGCTGCTGGAACTTGATACCAAGGGGAGGGAAGATGCCCCAAGCAACCATGTCTGGACGCCTGAAGGGCATGGACACAGACAGCCCAGGAGGACCAGAGCCACCCTGGGTAGTAAAAGAACTCGCTTCTTTTTCTGTTCCCCTTCCCTCCCTGCCCCAGAAACTGACATGGAGGCCCAGAAAAGTGCTGGGGGAGAAGCAAAGAAAGAGCAGACTATGTTCTCCTCTGCAGCAGGGGTTCCTTAGGCCATGAGCTAAATCTGATGGAGAGAAATAGAGGGGGGCACCATGTTGGACATCAGATTGAAACTTGAAACTGAAACAAACTGAGTAGACTTTTTAACAGTGAACAGACTGGCTCTGTGAAGGAGGGGCTCGGTGGAGAAGTTTGGAGGTAGTGTTCAGAAGAAAGGAAAAGCTGATCATATTTGTAACCCATCAAATGAGGGCTGTTCAATAAACACATTGTAAATAGAGGGCCTGGTAAGATTTTATGTAAAGAAGGGTAGCTGGGAGTGGTGGTACACACCTGTAATCCCAGCAACTGGGAGGCTGAGGCAAGAGAATTACAAGTTCAAGACCAGCCTGGGAAACCTATTGAGCCTTGTCTCAAAAAATAAAAAAAAAAAAGGACTGGAGTTGTAGCTCAGTGGAAAATCATCCCTGGGTTCAATCCCCAGTACTGAAAAAATAATTAATTTAATTTAAATAAAAATGAAGGAAGGGTAATGTGGTTGGAAAAGTTTGGAAACCACTGGTCTATTCTCACATTTCCTATGTGTAATAAAACCAGTGGTCAGAGAGGTTAAGTGACTTGCTCAGTCACACAGCTAATAAGTAAGGAGGTAATTGGGTGCATGCACTCCAGAATCAAACAGGTGTGCGTTTTTATGCCACCCTCGGGCACTCATCTTTTCCTTCCTTAGACTCCCTTAAGAGTTGTGGCTGGGCCACTCTCCTCTCTGCATTATTTGTGGTCTTTCTGTCTTAAGAGTTTTGGCACCATCTGCGATGAGCTTGCCTTGGCCACAAAGTTCTGGAAGTCCTGAATCCCTGCCTGAATCATTCTCTAGCTACAGGAAGGGCAGGAGTGACAAAAATGGGACTGGAGGATGGGGTTTGGAGCCCTTCTGGGACCCTAGTCAGGCCAACCCTCTGCTTTGGGAATAAGGTTCAAAAGTACTTCCCCTGTGGCCCCATACTGAGAATTGAACCTGGAGCGCTTTACCACTGGGCTACCCCCCCTGGCCCTTTTTGTTTTTTTTTTATTTTGAGACACATAAGTCACCTAGGCCAGTCTTGAACTTGGGATCCTCGTGCCTCTGCCTCCTGGTATCACAGGCGTGTGCCCCTGTTCCTGGCAGGAGTGGATGATTAGTGCAGAAAGGAAGCCTTGTTCTCCCCGCCCCCTGCCCCACCTCGCCAGCCTCAAGCCCTGCTGGTCCTGTTCTTCCTCCAGGAGAGGAGACTGTCCAGAGGAGGTGCAGGTGCATGGCTGCCCTTGATGACGGGCCAGGTACTCCAAGTCCCAGGTCTGGAGTCTTGGAGAAATGCCATAGTGGACACAGGAGGGAAGCCTGCCAGTCCTCACAGCCATATGTGTCCCTCTCACCCAGTTTCTACCCACTTGGGACTGGCTGAGAGCTCTGTGTCCACATCTGATTCCTATATTCTTACTCCTTCTTTAGGGAACTGATCTCTGACAATCAGGATGGATTTAGCCAAGACTGACTCCCAACATAATCTCTGTTCCCTCCTCATAAGTGCCTGGCCCATGCTTCCTGGCAGGGACATGCAGAGGGCCATGCCAGTGTGTTCCAAAGCAATATGGCTGGGTCATGGGTTGGCTTTGGAGTGCGGGTTTCCCACTATATGCAAAGATTTCTTCTGTGTTCCTGTTTGTATGGTGATGATTTAAATGCATCCTTCCCCTTCCCACCCAAAGGTTAAGGCCTGAAGAGGAGGAGCCAAGAACCAGGGTGGAGATGGAGATGGAGGTGTTAGGCGTTGCCAGGATTCCCTTCCTTCCTGGGCTGGGGGAGGGACAGAGATGAGGAAGATGGGGATGGAATGAAGGTGGATGCAGAGAGGGGGAAGAGGCTTTGGGGATCAATCTTTTTTCCTTGCTCCTAAGGGAGGCTGGCCAAATCCCCAAAGAGGAGAAGCGTAGGGGTAGGCAGAAGCTCTCTTAAGCCACCTTCTTTTTTCCCACTGAATCTTTCTAATACATTCTTATCCCTTTCTAGGGATGGAGACCAAGGGTTGAGCCAAACAGGCCTGGAGTAAAGAGCCTGGGCTTCTGTCTGGGGGAAGGCAGAGTATCAAGTCACTAACCCTTCCCCATGCGGTCAGTTAGTGGCAGGGTGTCAGCACTTACTTTGCAGGTGGTTTGGAGCATTTCAAAGTGAGAAAGCATTTGCAAGTGCTGCTCTTTGGTGATTTTTCCAGCCACTATCTTGGAGCTTTGCTGAGCAATTGTTGTGCCCGATGCCCTAGGTGGCCAGCACGACCATCTCAAATACCCCTTTGCCTCCAGTATGGGCTGCTCAGGACTGAGAAATGTTGAATCTCAACCTCTGCCGGGCAAGACCTGACTCCCTCCTCCCTCTGCCCTTTTCAGTTGGAGCATTCCGAGACCCCAGGCAGGAATGGCAGGACCATTGTGAACATGTGAGCCCTACCAGGAAGGACAAGAAGCAGCCTAGAGTAGGAGACCCCGAGAAAGTGAAGGCAGAAGTTATCAGACGGGGCTGAGGCCAACAGGGTGCTCCTTAATGGAAGGTTCTGGTAATTCAGAATTAGATTTTTATAAAGAGCTCACAACTTTGTAAAGAAAAGACTTCCAGGAAGATAATACCTCGACACATATTCATATACCTGAAGCAAAACCGGTTTTAAAAAATTACCGTCATAATCCTGATCTGCAGAGCACAAGTTCACAAGACAGTGAGAACAAGCAGGAGAAAGCCGCCTCCTCACTCCCATGGGTAAACCCTGCACATGGCCGTGCTGGCAACCTCGGTGTGTTGGAAAGATCTTTATTTTGCAATTCATAAGAGATCAAGAATTTCCCTGGGGAATTTTATTTGGAGCCGTGACACTGGGAAGACCTATAGTAAGATCAGAAAAGGGGACGTTGTTACGGAAGCAGACCCCATGGGGAAAGGCTGGGGATGGTGAATGATGAAGAGGGCAGACAAAGTTGATGCAAGAGATTCTGGAACTGGAAAGAAGCCTTGGAATCATGGATTCAGCCCTCCTTATTACAGACACTGGGTTCCAGAAAAGCCCAGGGACCAGGTGAGATTGTGTAGCAGGTGGTAGAGCCAAGCAAGAACACATGCTTTCTGCTTCCCTGTCGGTAAGACGTCTTTCAAATCTGAAAGGGAGCCAGACATGTCCCACAACCCAGGAGGCTGGGGCAGGAGGATTGCAAGTTCAAAGCCAGCCTCAGCAACTTAGCAAGGCCTTATGCAACTTAGTGAATCCCTTTCTCAAAATATAAAAAATATAAAAAGGGAAAAAGTGCTGGGGATGTGGGTTGGTGGTAAAGTGCCCCTGGATTAAAATCCTCAGTATTAAAAAAAAAAGAAGAAGAAGAATCTGAAAGGGTGTAGCACAGGACAGTTGGTACTGGCATACAGGATGGTCAGGGAATGGGGGGGACCAAGTGGCTGGGCAGAGACCCACTTGTGGCCCAGACTCCAAACCTGCTGCAGAGTGAGTTTGAGGCTAAGGCAGATCTGGCAAGGACTTCCCATTTAATCAATGACCTCCATATCAACAGGGGGACCTGGGGTTAGGCTGGTGGATGGTTTGGGTGGAGGGGCCATTATTGCCCTGGGAAGAGGTGACAGTTCTCTTGCCATCCCTGGAAGCATGCTATTCCTGGAGGAATTTGGTTAGAGAGTGCCAGGAGAAGAGGACACTGGCCAGGCTCAGAGCTAGCTACCCATGCTGCTGAGGTGTGGTTGTGATGACAGGCAGGTTGTGCCGACGGACAGGAGATGGTCTGGGATCCCTTCCATCCTCTGCTCTGAGGTACAAGACCTACTGCCATTGCCCTCAGTCATTAGGAAGGTGTGCCAGACACTGGGACCACATCAGAGGAGAGC